GAAGCTTTCCTGCTCAAAGTCACTAAACATCCTTTGACATATGTAGGACTCAAATGCGTACTTCTTGTGAGCTCTCTTTGTGTAAATGACATTAGAATCAATTGAGTGGGCAGCAGAATCAAGGTCCCACCCAGCTGCCTTCATCATGTTGATCAACGGTTTAGAAAAATCGTGGATGGCTTTGGAAGCTGCTTCTGCAGCAGATGTAAAAAGATCTGGTGTAAGATCAACAGGGAAAAATCTATTTTCATCATCGGAATCTTTGGTTAACAAGCCTCTAAGCTTCAGATTCTTTTCTAACTTGGCCCGCTTTTGGCTAGCCTCCTCGATCTGCTGCTTCAATTGATGGATCTCTGAATCTTTATTCTGAATTTCGGACTGAAACTTCTTCACCATAACCTCGTAGGTTTTCAGGAGGCTCTGCTGTTCTTGAATTTCCGCAGCCAAACGAGAGTCTTGTGGGGAAACACACACTGGTTTTGGGTTGTTTTCCCTATAGAAATGCTTGAGTTCAGACAGGTTCTTCAGCTCCTCAATAACAAGTTTATCTGCAATTTGTATTTTATCAGGATCATAGGGAGTATGAGCAGACTGGAGCTGGATATAAGCTGACTTCAGGGAAGATATATTTGTAAGGATTCTAGACATTAAAGTTTCCAAAGCTTCAGGATTCTGATTCATGGCCTCTTCCACAGGTTGAGGGTGGACCTTCTGACTATTGTTTTCACGTAATTGCGTCTCTTTTGCTCCAGTGGGTAGCATAGCTAACGCCAATAAAAGGATAGTTAAATAAGCTATCCTTCAACAAAACCAAAACTCATACACAACCTGCAAGATTTTGAACTTCAATCAAGGTATTCTTCAGAATTTTTTAGTTTGCTAGTATTCTTCGGAAAGGAAACCCCATTAACTCTATAAGCATGCATAGGAGATATATAGATGTGATTGGTGTAAATGAATTATATTTGGGATGTGTTCAGTTTGGCAGTGCATGAATTAAATGATTATTACGCTTGAGCAGAAATATGACACTATTAATGACTTAATTTTGTTCTTTGATGGTTAAAGTTTTATGACCTGATTTTTTTGTTTGAATAGTTAATCGTGTCAAATGTTACTCCAAATTTATATCCATCCATCTCTTGTTTATAAGCATAGTTTTCGTACGCCAGTGATTTCACAAAAGAGAGTGCCTTTCTAACGCCTTCAACCCAAAGCATGGTAGAGGTCCAGCACCTTAAGAGCATCTTTTGCATATGCCTACCTTGCTTAAGACAGCCAGAATATCCCAAGCTTCGTGAAACAGAGCCTAGAGAGATCTATTATACAAAAACTGCAAATGGTGGGTATCATAGGCGGACCTATGCTAAACTCAGTCAGGGCATCTGCCCCCACTGAAATCTTTGAAACATGTACAGTTGATATAATACCCTTTCAAATTTTGCTGCAGATGCTTTGACACAACTCGAGCCACGTCATTTACAAGGTTGATGATAATGTAAAAAGATTAATAAACAGAATGCCAACACACAACAAATCCAACATTGCAAAACAACACAACCCAAATCATACACGTCGCTAGTCATCCAAATAAGGAGGGAAGAAGCATAATAGCCAATTACAGACCATTAAAGCAAAAAATAGTACCCAAAAAAAAAAAAAAAAACACACACACACACACACACAACTCAATGTGTAAATATTCCCAAATTCAAAAGCGTCGATATTCAAACGATTACACGACCAGATTCAAAGCCAAATTAAAAAGAAAAGTTTAAAACAAAGTGAAAATAGCCACGAAGGGAACAGATGACGCGAGGAACAAATTCAAATCTAGATTCAAAGCCAGATTGAACTAAGCAATCTCACCAGATTTTGGTAGTAGAAAAAGCCCTAGGGTTCGAACCTGCTTCACTGCTTGCCCGAGAACAACCACGCAGGGCTGCCAAAAGCGGACGGCGTGCTACAGAGCTTGGAATGCTTCCTCGTCGACGAAGAGGAATGGATCCAATACGGCAATACCCACTAGAACGTGTTTTGGGGTTTTAATTAATTTTTAGAAGAATTTGTATAGGTCGAAAATTAATTACTCCAAAATAATGTAAGTTATTTCATAAAATTACACTTATGAATTTTTTATATAATTATTCTTGTTTTTCACTCAACTCTTTCATCTCCATTCTCAAATAGTATTGAAAAATTCTTACAAATCAAATAAAAGTATTACCAATATTTTATTTAACCTCTTCAATATTTTAAACGCACTCTTAAATTTATATTTTGTTTTCCTCTCATGTTCAATCTTTTTCTCATTTTCACATATCCATTTTCTTCAATTTTTTTTTCAAATAATTTAAAAACATTAATCATGCTGAAAGCAAGTAAAAACCTATTTTAACACATAATTTTGAATTAAAGTATATTTTTAATATTTTAATATAATATTTATATTTGATTCTTTAATTTAATAAAATATATTTTTAATCCTTTAATATCAACACTGTTAATTTTATATTATTATTTTTATGTCAATTATAGTTATTTTAAAAATAATTTTAATATATTAACACTTGAAAATATTTTATCAATATTTAAAAATTTAATGTATGATTCTTTATTTTTTCTTTTAATGAAGTTAGGTGTTAGGAGTGAAGGATTAGAAAAACACTTTAAAAAATTAATGCCCAAAATAAAATATTGTATAAAATTAAAGGACTAATGTTATATTTTAGTATATAATTTTGTATTAACACAAAATATATATAAATATTAAAAAAATAATTCAAAATATATAACAAATATGAAATAATAAAATAATATTATTTTGAAAATTTTAATTTCATAGGTAAATATATTAAACATTTATTAACAATAAAATATAAATTTTGATAAAAAAATATTTGATATTTTATAATGCACAAACATAATAATTATTGAAAAATAAAAAAATTTACAGATATTTTATATTTTATATTGATATTATTAGATTGTAATAAATCAATTTTATATTGAATAGGGAGAATGGCAAATAAGGTCCCTGATCAAAGAAATTATGGAAAATCACGTCTAAGAACAACACAAGAAGTTTTTTTTTTTTTTGTTAACAAAGACTAATATAGAATTGATTGTTTTTAAAATAAAAATATAATTTTTTTTTAAATGAGACTTATTATCAGTCATTATATGTAAATAAGTTTCTTGAATAATCCTTGTATGTGATTCTTCTAAGAAATTAGCACCCAAGACCTAATACATTTTGAATTTATTTTGTTAGGACAAATGCCTTACATGAAAATTTATTTTTTTTGGTGAAAAAACTCATTTATCCCTCACTTTGAAAAAAATAACAGTGCATAGGATATTTTATTGTTAATATATGAATCTTATTGTGTTACATAAAAACATTTGGTTGTTCATACACTAGGAAAACTTGTATATTATTGTTTAAACTAAATCAAATAAATTATGTATACTGAATAGATATTGTGTTATTAACATATGAATCTTATCATGTTATATATGGATATTTTATTGTACATTTTTTTGCTAAAAAAAGGGCCAATTTTATTAATCACAAAACATGTTACAAATACCAATAGCCAAAGCTAAAAAGAACACTAAAAAAAAAACTTAAAGACAAACTAACATACAAACTCACAAAAAAAAATTAAGAAAAACAAGAAAGCAAGAAACAACAACAAAAAGAATTAACAAATTCTAGTTCTATTCTAGGAATTATAAAAGTCAGTGGCATTAGAAGCTTTAGTAGTCCTTAAATGAGCAAGTAATAAACTAGATAAAGAAGATGTTCACATTTTCATTACCTTAGCAAGTCACCAATAAAAAAGAGATAGCTTTGCTAGATTAATGAATAGCTAGAATGTCCTATACAAAATCAATACAATGCCAATTTTGATTCTCAAAAAACTCATCCAATAGAATACGAAAAAGTAGCTCACAATTCATGTCAATAATAACTTTTCTTCCTTCAAAGTTACTAACAACCTTTAAATTTTTCAATACTGCCATACATTCAAAAACAAAAGGAAAAGAAGCAAACACTTGCTTTCCACGACCACGTAAAAAATTCCCCAACCAATCTCTATACACAATTCTATAATTCATTTTCTTAGCAAAGGAACCATCTATATTAATTTTTACTTCACCCTCAATTGGACAAATCCAAGAAGAATTTTTAGAAATCATAATAGGATTCGATTTCAAAAAATTAGACTTTCTAATCATCTTCAAATGAATACAACATCAACAACTCATCTAGCATTCAAAACCACCTCTATAGCATCTACATTTTCTCCATTAAACACCAAACTACACCTACATTTCCAGATTTCCCAACATGTGACGGCAATAACAGATCTCCCAACTGAATCAATTAATTGATTATCATAAAACATAATGGCAAACTAGTCAGCAACATTATTCATATCAAAATCAGAAATCAAAACTCACTCTATAGCCAAACCAACTAGCTCTAACCCAAGGACAATTTAAACAAAACATGCTCCCTAGTCTCAACATTAATCAAACAAATAGGACAATCAGCAAAGACTGAAGGGTAAATGAGTTTTTTCATCCAAAAAAAAAAAGTGTATTTAAGGCCTTTGAGTATGTAAAATAAATTTAATATATATTAGGTTTCAGATGCAAATTTCTTTGATTGGGTCTTAGTGCCAGTCTTCCAATTTAATACTCTCTTTGTTTTAAATTATAAAATATTTTTAGATAAAATTTTACATGCCAATAAACCTCATTAAATACACTTAACAATCTAATATTTTTAAAATAAAAATATAAACTTTCTAAAATACCTATAATTTAATATACCGAAAAGAGAAGTGATAAAAATTAATTATAAAAAAATAATATTAAAATTAATGTATTTAATGAAATTTTAATTTACTCCAAATATTTTAAGATGATTTTTTTTTTTTAAAAGTGCCCGAGTACTCAATTCGATTAATTTCAATTTTAAACCATTAACCTTTAAGCCGCTGGTTGGCGCCCGTTTGAGGGAGTGACAGTGATGGAAGTCGGAAGGTTACCGATCTCGGCGACGAAGAGAGGGAAACTTATATCTGCCGGCTATACCACATTTTCTACCATCCTTCACGTTTCCTCTTCCGACCTTGCTCGAGGTTTCCATCTTCTTCTCCATTTATTCACTCTCAAGTATTACAACTCAGCGTGTGTGTGTCTGTGAATTTATGCGATGAATCACCATGCACCGTCATTAATTATTAATTCATTAATAACAATAGAAACTTAAGGCAGATTCATGGTTTTCGGCGTGATATATGAACTAGTAATCCTTTAGAGAGACCTTCGAGTGGTTATTTTCTCATATTAGGAATTGGCTATCGCGAGATCTTGGATTTTTGGTTGGCTGCTGGAATTATTGTTTTACTGAAGATTGCACGATCTTGAACCAAATGTATTTAAATTTCAAGGCACCTAATTAGTGTTTTCCTACGGATTTTCCCCTAAGATTTGAGGGGACTAAACTGGGGTCTGTTTTGTTTTAGCTATATTGGTTGTCAGGTTGATTCGAGGTATTCGAGTGGTGGGAACCCATTTTTAGCAGCGTTCTTAAATTCACGATCATTTGCAAATGCTATACTTTTTATTTAGAGTACAATACAATATAGCTTCCTAGTTGTTCATATTTAGATATCTTATATTTGGACTTGTTTATATGTTAAATGTTTTCCTCACTTTTATACTCTTTTTCCTAAACAGATCTAGATGTTTCAGAGAGTGAAGCTTCTGAAATTTTGAAATGTGTATCACAAACTAGTAGGCTGGAGGGGTCAAGCAGGGGTCCTGCTACTTTTGATGGTACTAAATTTGTTCTCTGAATGACAATGTTTTTATTTGAAAAATAATAGTAGTTATAACATACATCATTTTTGCATGCTAAACTAGTATGACACCACTGTTGCGCACCCTGTGACTCATCATATTACAGATTATGGCTTGATTGGATTTTCCCCTGACGTGTTGTCATCTGATTATATTAGATATATGTGTGCTTTCTCCTTATTCTTTTTTTATCCCCATTGGTGACGCATTAGTCTTCCATAAAGCATATGCATGCCCTCTTCTAAAGATGCAGTTAGTTAGGTATCGCAATTTTTTGGGCTATATCAATCCAATATGCTTTATGTGAAGTCTGTCCAAACTGGGGGGGAAAAGTTACAGCGTAATCCAAAATACTGGATGCCAAAACTGAGCAAAATAACTGAAATTATGAAGCACCGAGTAATTGCTTAGAAAGATCATCATTGTACAGTGGTTCGCATGAATAATGAACTCCACTATTAGTGAAATGTGAAGAATTCAATGGATGCCTTGTTATACTAAATTGTCTGAAATTTTTGGAGTGAAATGAGAACATCTTCAGTAGATAAATCTTTGTCAGTTGTTATGAAACTTGATGGTCCAAAGTGGGTGAGGATAAAAAAAAACCATATTTGATTGTCACTTGATAGTCTATAGTTGGGCATTTTTTCAGACACTGGAAGATAGATTTGAGTTTAATGTGAAGTCTTTAATATCTAGTTTTTAGAATCTGGGATGAATCATGAAGATCCTTTGGGCATAGTATTACTTGCGTGTAAAAGCTCTCAACTATTCTTGACAATGGAATCCAGTTAGGAATTTGAGAGAACTCAGAGATACAGTAACCTGGAAAGAAGGAAAAAAAGATGCAGAAGGTAAAGGAAAATAGCACCATTGGCATTATAGAGGAAAATGCCGCTCCTAGTCTCCTACAGTTTTCTCTGAAAATCTTCTTACCTCACTACATGCTCAGAACCCCAATAAACCCCACTAATCTTCACACACTCTGATATGGAAGGAAAATAGAGTGGATTTAAGAAGAAGAATTTGCATTCACAACTGTCATGACTGTGGCCTATCCTCATGCAAGCTAAAGATAGATTCTTCTTAGCACTTAAACTATGCACTCGACAACATTCCCTTCCCCAAAAACAGCCCTTGTCCTCAAGGGTGGTCATTGAAACAATGAAAATGAGGCTGCATTTTCTGTTAGTCTAGATGTCTAATGGTTGAAACCAAATGGCCTCTTTATCAGGTAAGTCATTGCATTGAACTAGCAATTCTGTTGTTGGTCCACCCTCTTTTGAACTCTTCTCTGTACATTCTTCTCAAGGGCCCCTTAGAATCAGTAGTCCCTTTGTTTTCTCTTCATTTTCTGCCATTGTTTCATGCAGGTGCTCAGACTGCTTGGGCAATGCTCAATGAGGAAAAGTCATGCATTACCACGTCTTGTCTGGACCTGGATAACATCCTTGGTGGAGGTATTAGGTGCGGAGAAGTCACTGAAATTGGTTAGCCAGCAATTTCATTCAACTCTTTTTTGTGAATTGTATGATAATGACTGCTAATTGAAGATACAAAGCTTTGCAAGAACCTTCTTCCCTTTTCTGTATTTCAATTTTATTTATTTTATTTCTTAGGTGGAGTTCCAGGAATTGGTAAAACACAAATGGGGTATGCTTTGTCATTCCAAGTTTCTACATCATATCATACTTTTTTACCCTGTCAATTGTGAGATATTTTGGTTATCGCATGATATTTACTTTGACAGGATTCAGCTTGCAGTTAATGTTCAAATTCCAATAGAATATGGTGGGCTGAGCGGGCAAGCTATATACATCGGTAAGATAAGAGCCATTTGTGTGTGTGTGTGTGTTTTTTTTTTTTTGGGTGCTTGTTGACTGTTGAGCATTTAACAGGATTTATTGATTCTTTTTTTTTTTTTTTTGGAATGATAATCTGAATACTAGCAATAAACGGTCAAAGAACAAATACAAGGAAACACCGACAAAAAGAGAATACAGGGATTTATTGATTATCGATTGCTGTTCTTGTGCATGCATAATTCACAGATACAGAGGGTAGCTTTATGGTGGAACGTGTACTACAAGTTGCTGAAGCTTGTATAGAAGACTTGTCAGAATATAGCCACCTTCGCAAGGATGCTCAAAATTGTGAAGTTAAAATGCACCCTAATAATATTTTGCAAAATATATTTTATTTTCGTGTTTGCAGCTATACTGAGCAAATTGCGTTGGTAAATTACTTGGACAAATTCGTCACGGAACATAAAAATGTAGGTATTAAGTTTTATATATCGTATTGAGATTTTTCCCAGCAACTTTCTTGAGGATAATTTTTAATATTTAATTGCCTTATTCATTTGCTCCATAATCTGCTACGACTTTAGACCATGAGAGTACTCTTGCTTTGACCTCATTTCCTTCTCATCCTTAATCCAACCAATTTTCTCCTCTTATGTTACTTCAGGTGAAGATCATCATTCTTGACAGTGTTACTTTCCACTTTCGCCAAGAGTTTGATGATATGGCCCTCCGGACTCGATTACTTAGTGAAATGGCTTTAAAATTTATGAAGCTCTCAAAAAAGTTCAGTTTGGCTGTAAGAATTACTATGTTCTGTGTCAGAGGTGTTACAGTTTTGAATTTAATTTTTACTCACAGGAAAGTTTCTGTCTGGATTAAAGTCTTACCATCAATATTAAGCTCTTGCTTTACAAAAAAGCCTTTGTTGGCTTCAAGTCAAGTAATATTTTTCATTCTCTGATAATATCCATAATGGCTCCATTAATTTCCAGTTATAAATTCCATTTTGTGCCAGGTTGTAATGTTAAATCAAGTAACAACCAAGCTCATTGATGGTTCGTTTCAATTGACCCTTGCACTGGGTAAGTGCCATTTTTATTTTCATTCATTTTTTATATTTCACTCACTTATTTTTTTATGAACAAACTTTTGCAATCTCATTATCATATGGGTTATGATTAAAGTGTGTTGTTGTGATGTTGAATAGGTGATAGCTGGTCACATATGTGCACAAACAGGATAATCTTGTATTGGAATAACAATGAACGACATGCATACATTGACAAGTCCCCATCTCTTAAATCTGCATCTGCAAGATATTCTGTGACCAGTAGAGGGATTCGTAATTCTTCTTCAAGCAGTAAACGAATTAAAATGATGTGAGAGTATTTCTTTCCTTTTCTTTATTACTTGACGTAGATGATATTTTAACTCTGAAACTTTTGGTGGCTTCCATGATGTGACATTGAGTAAAAAAAAAAAAAAAGTTTGTGTTCATGTTTTCGCATGAAACTTGGAATGAATTACACCCATTCCTAGCTTATAAATAGTTCAGCTTTCTATAAATTTTATACTCTCTCCATCTCAAATTATAAGAGATTTTTAAGGAAGATTCAACGTTTCAAAATATAAGGCATTTTGATAAAAATAAAGTTTTATTAATGATAGTTTTTCAATATTACCCTTCTCATATATTCTCTATCTTTAATGTTATTTCATCAATGGAATATTAAATGAAGGACATTTTTGAAAGTTTTTTTTTTGTCTCGAAAATGTAAGGTTGTAAGGTGTATTTAATGAGTTTTATTGGTATATGAAATTTTATTTAAAAATGTTTTATAATTTAGGACGGAAGGAGTATTTTATATCGATATAGGTTCAACTACCTACATATTTGTTGGATATATAAAACCTGATGGCAGTAAAAATGATTTAATTTTTTTTTGAAAATACAATATGGTCAGGGAAAAAATTCAGAAAATATAATAGTTTTGGGTTAGATGATATCCAACAAATATTTTGGTTGGTACCTAACTCATTCCCACTTGATGCGGTTGGTACCTGAACTTCTTGGAAACTTTTGGTGGGTTAGATGATGTGACATTGAGTAAAATTGTAAAAATTAGATTTTGGGTTCTATTTTTTTTTTCATGAAATTTAAAATGAAAAGCACCATTTTTGGTTTTCAAACGATATAGTTCCTCCTAAATTTTATATTATATCTAGACAGACAAATTCAACCACCTACCTATTTGATTTGTTTGATGTACAAAACAAAATGACGAGCAAAGTGAAAAGAAAGATTTGAAATATATATGACTGACAGCAAAAATGAAAAAAAAAAAAACAGTACTGTCATCATTTAAAAATATATAAGATATTTTTAATTAAATTTTATCTTTTAATAAAGTAGTTACTTACTTTCTAACTAACTTTATCTTTTTATATTTATTCTTATTAAACACTATAATAAATATAAAATCATTATCAATAGGGCACTTTTGAAAAAAAAAATGATTACATCTCAAAAGATTAAAAATACATTATATTTTTAAACTTTTAATTCCTTAAAAAATGTAAACTTTTTGACCGAGAGAGTATGATTCATATCTTCACTTTAAAAGCAGCAAAATGACATCAAATTGAAGATTGTGAAGAAAAATTATTAAATTCATCAAACAAGCAAAACAAGTTAATGCATAACTTTTAAGAGCCACAGGGACGACGGTTTAAATGGGTTGTCCACCCGAATAAAAATTCAAATATTCGATATCATTGTCCACCTCGAATGTCGTAGGATGCAAAATGATCGAGATGTATGTTTTTCGCCGTTGAACATGCTGCCTCATTGGTTTAATGATAGTTCCTTTTTTCCCATTCAAAAAAAAAAAAAATCTATCAGTGCTTTCATGCATATGAATTTTCAAGAAAATCAAAGCAGACAATAGTTTGGTGCTTTTAGAAGTTAAAAAAGTATAACTAGAACAAAACGATTTCACTGATTAAAAAAAGAATCAAATGGTTTCAATAAATGGCATAATTAAAGAATTCAAAACACAAGTAAATTTAGGCAGTAATTTAAAATCCTATGCATACATTGTATTATTAATTTAAATACTCTCATGTCTATCGGATTTAAATGGACTAAAATTTGGATTGAAGTCTTGACAAAACACGACTGATTACTTTTCACCAACTCCGCCTATGTTTATAGCCGATCCGAAGCTCGGGTAAAGGAGGAGGGTTGTGTTAGGCCATCAACAGTCAATGTAAAACTTTGTTGAATCTATCATGAACATGGACAATAGACGTTATAATGTTAATGCTAGGTCGTTGCCCGTAAGTAACGCGCTGCATGGCTCGAGTACAGTGATAAGTGAGTTAGAGCTGCTGCATCGGCGCCCGGATGTAGTGTTAAATGAGCAAGGGCTACCGCGTCATTCTGGACGCATGCGGCTAAAGAAGTTAGTCCATGAGAGCAAAATTAGATTTGGTACTTGGAATGTTGGGACATTGAATTGTAAATCTGTAAAGGTTGTAAGGGTTATGATTCAAAGGAAAATCAATATCCTTTGCCTGCAAGAAACAAAATGGCGTGGAGAAGAAGCTAAGGATATTCAAGGTTTCAAACTTTGGTATACAGGAAAAGTAAGTGCATGCAATGGAGTAGGCATCATTATAAATAAAGAGTGGAAGAAGAACGTTGTAGAAGTTAGCAGAATTAGAGACAGAATTATTTCCTTAAAAATGATAATTGGACGTGAGACTATTAATATTGTTAGCGCTTATGCGCCGCAAGTCGGGACAGAAGCTAGTCTTAAGGAATTATTTTGGGAGGATCTGGAGGGGTTGATTCGACACATACCACAGAGTGAAAAGATTTTTATTAGAGGAGACTTCAATGGGCATGTCGGGAGGGAAGCTGGTTAGTATGCAAGGGTGCATGGTGATTTTGGTTTTGGAGAGCCAAATAATGAAGGACAAACTCTTCTTGATTTCTTATTGGTGTATGATTTTAAGATTGCCAACACTTGTTTCAAGAAGAGAGATGAGCATCTCATCACTTACAAAAGTGAAGCCTCAAGGTCACAGATTGATTTTCTTTTAGTTAGAAACACAGATAGAAGACTTTGTAAAAATTGCAAGGTGATCCCCAGAGAAGCTGTAACGACACAACATAGGGTCCTAGTCCTTGATGTGTGTATTATGAGTAAAATTCAAAAACGTCGACAAGTAGTAGCACCAAAGATTAGGTGGTGGCAATTAAAAGGTGAGAAGCAAGATATTTTCAAGCGAAATCTTTTGGATAAAGGAATTTAGGAATTTCAGGGAAGTACTAACATCATATGGGAGGATATGGCTAAAAAGATACGGGAGGTTGCAAAAGTAGTTTTAGGAGAATTAAAAGGTTCTAGTTCGAGAGATAAGGAGTCTTGGTGGTGGAATAATAGTGTACATGACAAAATCAAGTATAAGAAGAACTGTTTTAAAGCTATACATTTGTGTAACAATGGAGAAAATTGAGAGAGGTACCGTATGGCTAAGAAGGAAACTAAGAGAGCTGTGGGTGAAGCTCGTTCTAAAGCTTTTGAAGAATTTTATAAGAGCCTTGAGACGAAGGAAGGAGAGCGAAATATTTATAAGATTGCTAAGAGTAGGGAAAGAAAATCAAGAGATCTAGAACAGGTAAGGTGTATTAAAGATGAAGAGGGAAGAATTTTAGTTACAGATGATGAAATTAAAAATAGATGGGAGACTTACTTTTCTAAACTTTTCAATGATGGAGAGGGTTCATCTAGTAATTGAGCACAGGTTGAGATTGGAGACAAGTGTTTCTGAGAATCAGTTTGGTTTTATGCCACGTAGATCAACTACAGAGGCGATTTATCTACTAAGGGGATTAATGGAAAAGTATCATTGTAAAGATAAAGATCTACACATGGTTTTTATTGATTTGGAAAAAGCTTATAACCGTATACTAAGAGAAGTGCTTTGGAAAGCGTTGGAAAAAAAGGGAGTACGGATTGCTTATATTAAAGCCATACAAGATATGTATGAGAGGGTAAAAACTAGTATAAGAACGCCTAGTGGTCAAACAAAGGATTTTCCTATAAAGATTGGATTACATCAGGGATCATCTCTGAGTCCTTATTTGTTCAACTTGATCTTAAATGTTTTGACAGAACATATTCAAGGGGAAATTCCGAAATGTATGCTCTTCGCGGATGATATAGTTCTTATAGCAGAGATAAGAGAAGAGGTTAATTATAAATTTGAGTTATGGAGGAGGATATTGGAGTCGAAAGGTTTTCGTCTGAGTAGAAGTAAGACGGAATATTTATATTGTAAATTTGGTAAAAGACTATTCGACAATAATTTGGAAGTAAAATTGGGAGATCAAATTATACCTCAAGTAGAAAAGTTTAGATATTTGGGAGCCATTATTCAAAATGATAGCGAAATCAGTGGAGATATTTCACATAGAATTCAAGTTGGGTGGTTTAATTGGAGAAAAGCTAAATGAGTTATTTGCGACCGTAAGGTGCCTAATAAACTTAAAGGAAAGTTTTATCGCACTGCTATCAAACCGACAATGTTATATAGTAGTGAATGCTGGGCTCTAACGGGACAGCAAGAGCATAAAGTTGGAGTAGCAGAGATGAGAATATTATGATGAATGTGCGGACATACACGTAAAGATAAAATTCGAAATGAGCACGTACGCGAAAAAGTAAGGGTGGCACCTATTGAAGAAAAAATGGTAGAAAATCGGTTGAGATGGTTTGAGCATGTACAAAGAAGACCAAGGGAGGCACCAGTGAGAAGAGTGGAACATATAACTTTGAGTCCGATTAAGAGAGGTAGAGGAAGGCCTAAAAGAATACTCTTAGAAGTTGTTGAACGCAATCTCTTAATTAATAATATTCCTAAAAGTTTGATAAATGATAGAGCACAATGACGTCTTGCAATCCATGTAGCCGACCCCACCTAGTGGGATAAAGGCTTGTTGTTGTTGTTGTTGTTGTATGGGCCAACCCTGTTTACCTAAACATGGTCGGGTACGGCAAGCGCAGCTGCACCAAGTCCATGGATGACTTGCTCGCCAATTTTACAATATGACAATTTTTTTAATAAAATCAAGAACATTAACTAATTTTAATCAATTTTTTTCTTTTGCTCTAACATCCTGAGACTTTTGACTCAGATCTGGTCAACAGCTTGCAAGCACTTCTTTGGAGGGCATACCTTCCACTAAGAATTTAATTGATGTTGCATATCAAGGGTTTAAACTCAAAATCTCTCGATAAATTGGACCAAGTCTCTAGCCAATTGATCCAAGCGTCTGGTGGCAATTTTAATCAATTTTTTAATCTTTGTCATTCAGTTAAAAAGAGTATAAGTATGATTGGAGGTAGTGAATAAATAAATAAAACATTAGGATCCTCACTGATAATATTAGAACTCAGAAAACACAAGCATGTAATTTTTAAGTTTACCAATCTGCACTAACTAGAAGTGGGTG